CATCTCTCGGGAATTACCAAAATACGGCTCGGATAGGTTCGCCGCCATTGAGAGAAATAAAATTTAATTCATTTGTTGCAAAAGGAAGAAGGTGCTACTATCAACAAGGAAAGAAGCTGGCGGCTCAAACTCTTCGTCTTGTCCAGTTGCCCTCCGGTTCCAAGTGATGTGCAAACGTCCCGTTTCATGACTCCAGTTCCTCCTCCGTAACGTGAAAACGACGTGATTCGAAATTAAATGGAATTGTTTTTGTGCTTCAGTTTTAGAACTGCTGCCGATTCTGCCTCGCCTAAGTGTCGTCAGTTTGTTGGGTTTTTTAATAATGCATTGTTTGTTTGGGTGAGTGATCACCGCAACCGCAATGAGTCGCATCCGCCCAGATCACTGCCATTCACGCGTTACACATTATCAGTAACTTCGAGAATAAAATTTTATTCCCCAGTAATAACTAAATTCAAGAAAAAATTTCTAATTTTTTCCTAATTTTTATAATATTACAACTTGCAACGTCATCATATTCAAGTACGTGAATACAAAAACGCACACAATATCGTACATTCAGACAATTACAGAGGTGAAGATGAAAAAAAAAAAATAGCAGAAAAATGGTTAATTAAAGCTTAACAATGTACGCAGCGTTTTCTGTTTCTCTGGTAAACCAGTAGGCTGATTTATATAAGATTGACCGGTGCAAACTGCTTTAGCTTCCACAAAACGCGCATTTGACCTTTTTTTTATTTTTAACACTTTAACTCTTATATTACTCTGAACTTATTGACGTTACGGAAATGCAGATTTGTCCTTTTATACCAAGAACACTAAGACCGCTCAGGCAAAAAATTTGGAAACTTTGTGTTAGTTATGTTACTAGGATGTTTGGACACGCTAGGCATAGCTATATCAAGAATCCTCTGTCTAGGCTTCCATGTGAGAAGCATAAACTTATGTACAAAGTCAAAAACCAAACCCCGGATGGTTTGATTCAGCTCTCCTTTACTAGTATTTGTTTCGAAAGTTACAAAGAATCAGGCAGATGGCAGATTTAACTTCCACTGATAAGCAGCAGTACCAACTTAGTACGAAGGCGAATTCTATGCAGAAGAAAATGTTGACAAGTTCAATGGACTGCCAATCACTGAATTCAGATTCTGGAGCAGTGGAAACAAACGGTCTAGCATTTGCTGGTCACATTTCGGAGCAGTCGCAAATCCACTTTACTCTGTCCGAAACAGGGGATTTACCAGATATGACGACTGAAGCACTATGACGGAAATAAGTGTTGTAGAAATCGATTTTAATCAACCTGCTGAGCCAGAAAATTCCAAAAAGTTTTCCGATGATTACACATCA